CAGTTACTTCATCTTAAACACTCAAAATAAAATTGTCACGGACTGCTTACAACTTAATTCCTCGATGTTCTCTATTCAAAAAGGAAAGACTACAATTCTTTTGGTGAATGGGACATGTTTAAGGCCCGCGGTATCTCTACGGTGTCATTATTCTCAGTTCTCATCAATAATATGTGTAACTTATGCTATTACACACATAAAAAGAGTAAATTTTAAACGAAAGACAGACCAGTGAAATATATATGGATCGTGGCCTATAGTGTAGGATTTCCCGCCATTGAGCGGCGCGTGCCTTGTCGGTAAGGGGTAAGCTGTAACATTCTGTTATGACATAACTTTGTTTAAAAAGTCAATAAACGCTGTGATTCGAAATATTTGTGGTTTTGTTTAGAAATCAAATGAACAAGAATTGAAATCGACAGTCTCGAGGGCATTCACCGATCATATTAACACCGGGATGGCCCTGGCCTCACCATACCCAACAACCCGACCAGATAATTTGTGAGGTTTCTCACCGCCATTACTTAAATCATTTTATACTTACAGTTACAAACATGTATTTATAAAGCTTTCATTTCCTATATCTGGTAATACAACAATGTTCATTGAATGCTATTTTCGCGATAACATCTTTAGGACTTTATGGAATTTGGCCAATAAAGCGGGTCCATCAAACGAAAAAGTATTCTCGGACTGGAACTGTTGGTCCGTACAACACCCTTAAACTATTGTTGACCAAATTCACTAATGTGTTTTTGAGTCCAGTTAAATATGAAAGTGAGATGGTGACGATAACATCCATTAGGAGTAATATACATGTGGATTCCTGTGAGCAAATCAAGGTTGGTAAACAGGTGTCCGGCAGGTTCACATGCAATCAGGACAGGTAATACAGGTACCAATGACCTAAGCGACCTTGCAACCTTGACCGGGCTAGTTTCAGTATCACCAACACCAAGACGTCACCTTCTCGAACGTTTGAGCTGCGGTTCCTGACATTTGGAAATGAAAATCCTGCAGTCAGTTTTCCAAATGAATGTATATGAGACGTTTAACTGTTGAAAATTTCATCCACGTTCTGAATGAATGTACATTTCTAAGCTTACATTAGGAAGAACTATACAGGGTCGCCAACGATCCGCAGTGACCTCGGATTGTGTAGTAGCACAGTACCCACGTAATTCAGCAGGTTTTAATTTCTACATCAGGGCAAATGCAGGTATGAAGTTGAATTCGGAAGAAATGACTATCCCGACTTAACAGTTATGTTATAGAACTAAACAAACCAAGAAGCGATTACGGATTGTCTTTATCAGTATTGAATACATATAGTATATAACAGGTACACAATCGTGTATGCCCTCCACGTACAGAATGGCATATGTTTTATGTCCAAATACGGAACAGTGCCACAGGAACTGTTGAGTCACGTTGCTGGGGCTACAAACCATGTTTTTGTAATCTTTAGGCTAAAAAGTATCAACATCAAACAAACTTCTGTTCATATATATTGCATGATCGAACATTGTGAATTTTTACACGTTTCTCGTGTCTGTTCGGTAACAGAGCATAGTTACGACGCCCCAATCGCGTTACGTGAGCGATCTGGTTTGTATGGCCGGCGGTACAACATCGTCCACGCGACGTCGCGTAAATACACTAACATTAACAGGGGCACATACTCCCCCCGAATCCGGCTTTATATCTCAGGGTGTAACATTGGTGTCGCTTGAATTTGAATTCTACCTGCCTCTTTTACAAAATATTTCAATCAGTCTTACAAATAAACTTACATAATCCGCGTATATGCTGCCGACATACATGTATTTCACTCCTTCAGCATGAACACATCCAGGGCTTTATTACCAATATGATGACGGGGAATACGTTTCAATTGAGCGACAAGTACCGGCTTAACTGTTTCAATGATGTGAATTGGAGCCAAACTCTACTGATGTCCGACTTTCTTTAGGAAATGTTCTGTTAATGCCGTTAGGTATTTTTTAAGTAAACCGACACAAAAAAAACACAGATGGTGAAAACTGCAATGTCATCCCACATGTATACAAGTGTTGGTCTCGTGTTTGGTGTGTCGTGTAGCTAATGACAACCAATGGAATGGAATAGATATTTGTATATTTTGGGATATATTTTAATGGGATAAAATCAATTAACAAATGGACTGGTATTTGACGTATTACGTTTATATCCGACATCTGTTAAACGAGAGTGCCATTTTTTATGTAAATCTCTGAATCTGTAGGTTAGTATTTATGGACATACAGAAAGCGAGTCCAAGATGTCGATATTCCCCTCATGCCGACGTGGTCCTCTTACACGTTTAAGTGGACGCTGTCATTGCTAGTAATGTCTAATTTATTGTCCGGAAAAGATGGGTCTAGTTTCTTCACGGGTTGTCATTTTGTATAACTACACGGGTTATAGTAAGTCTATGCACCTGAAATACGTTGCTTAAAGGTAAGTACCTTATTATTTATTTGCCTTTCTTTTGTCAGCCAGGTTCAGACAGCCTAAATCCAATCTGAATAGTTTAAGTTGTATATATTTTCTTTATTGTTGTATAAACCCGTTTGAAAGTAAACTATTAAGAGAGATTTGTCATAATACCTAATACATCTTTTGATATACAGGGAACGGTTAACAGTTTGGTATTGCCGCCAAATATATCCTTGACGGCATACCAATTTCAGGATCATCTGCCATGGCAAACTTCAAACAGGAAGTTCAGAAAGTCACGTGACCCAGGAGAAAATATCTCGTTTTGCTAATCAACATTTTTCTTGTTTTAGAACTGAGCAATCGTGTGGACTTGTGGGCAGTTCTAGCCCCACAGAATGGCCAGTCATAACCCCACAGAGTACACACTCCCTTGTAAATATACACTCTCCAATATTAGCTCCAAGTTTTGAGCTAAATATTTATAAACAAAATAGAACGGTTCGATTGTAAGTGGCCCTAATCAGCGGCCCGCGCCCAAATGATCCCCATCCACCGCGTGGGGTCGGATCCAGATAAAAATAGGCATACATAGGGTCCGATAAGGGCCGAACACGTCAACTAATCAGGGACACGGAACAGGGCCACGTTGACCAGAGAAAATGTAAAACAATATTTTTGTTGGTTTGCGAGGTACGAAAACAGTATAGGAGATAGTTCAAGTAGGATGATATGTACTAAAAATATGGTACTGTTTTAAATGAAATCATTTCTTTCCGAATGTACTAAATAACTTTACTTTAATTTTAATCTGCTGTCGTGAAATAAATATTTTAGAATTCTCAAGATATCAATGTAAAGAAGAATTAGAACGGACAGCTGGAATAGGTTTGGGAACGTCTACTTGAAATTTTAATGAAAATTTAAATTTTGATTTTGAGACCTTTAATACATACACGCCGGTAATATATTTACTGTACCACTTGATACAACTTTCCATAATACACACAATGGACGCGATGCTTTGAAGGTGAATCTGATTATCTCGTATTCTGTCGAGAGAACAGTCAGGTAATTTATATGTATGTATTAACCAAAATGTCATACCTGTGAAATTTTTACCTGTAAAAGTAAAATGAAATCTGCACTTGAACGAGCTGTTGACATTTTCAGATACAAACCCCGGCTGTTGAAAATCTACAGGTACGTTTTAATGAAGGTTTTGTGGAGCAGTACAATTACTCAGGGCGCGTAACAACAGAAACATTTACACCTGTTCAAAGTTTACCGTAAACCTTTTTTGTAACCCTGATAATTTTCTTTATCAACTCAAGTGCACTAACCTAATATCGGAGTGACTTATCTTCCATTATACATACGCCAATGGGGACCTAGTCGCACACAAACCCGGCAAACGTACGTAACTCAATGTGAAAAATAGGGTTTAAACGTCGACATTAATTTGTGAAAAATTAGATGTGCATTCTTTATTAACATGTGCAGTAATTGGTAAGATTAATTTCCCGAGTGCCTTTCCAGTGCCCGAGTGCCGGGCTGTATGTGTCTGGGTTTCTGTCAACGGTACGGTATACGAGTAACGGGCCTGTTTCAGATGTAATCAAATAAACCTTGAACTTTTCAGCTTTTAAGGGAAATTGTTAAGGGCTATTTTAAGTACGGGTAATCTATATATGTTAAGGACACGAGTGAAAGATTTTAAATAATTTTAATCGATAAAACAAAATATAAAAATATGACAATCCATTTTTCAAGGAATGTATTTACTATGGTGACATTTTTTTTTACATTTTGCATTTTTATTCTGAGTGTGTCAACTGACAGCTGTAACCCCGGACTGTGTCGCGGGGTCCGGACTGTGTCGCGGGGTGTAATCCTGTGCAGGGACAGGAGTGGGTCCGGCGAGCTGGGGGCTACATACCCGGGTCAATATTGGTTTGGTGGAAGATTACTGTCAGTTTTTATAAATAACACGGGATTCGATTTCAAATAACTCGATATCCCCGGACTGACGTCAGGTCAGACCAAGATTATACCGAGGTTTGGTCACAGAGAAATATACTTTCCAGGTCAAGATTACACCAAGATTTAATCAAAGACACGTATACTTTTAAGGTTAAGATTACGTCAAGGTTTGGTCAAAGACACACATTTTTTTTTTCCACATAGTTTTAATAACTTCAATTTTTATGTTCAATTTTTCAGTTTTATGTATTCAAGGATTTTAATTTACAGCATTCTTTCATATCATTATTATTTATTACTATATACAGTCATTTTATGGAAAATATACTTTGGCTGAATGGTCAGTCAGACCGTGAGAATTTAGTCGTAAACAATTAAAACTTGTCTGTTTTCATCAACATACTGTCCTGTAGCTGTATGGCCCGGTATGACTAATTTCCTATATTAAATACACAATATGTATCTGTCTGCACGTGCTTTAACATAACACATTAACACATGCACCTCACCGACGTTAGTATTACCTTAATTAGTAATGTATGTTAGTTATACTGACTTACCTGTATATATTTCACCTGGCTTGTATTTTTTATTTTTAGGTAATTCCTTAATTGTTATTTGGAATCCTCCTGTACCCCCAGTTTTCTGGGCCACTGTATGTATGGGTAATCGAGAACACACATCCAGGTTCGACCGTGCATGTGCAGGTGTGTAACATCCAATTAGCACACAGGTAATTAATAAACAATTAACGAATGTGACGATACCCATCATAGTATTAAGAATCATTGCTACTCCGACACAAAAACACCACTCGAAATCGGGTGAATTTCACATCGAGATAAAGATGTAGGTTTCTTCCATGTACTTGTTTAAATCACAAGAAACTAATACAATACTTCACATTATCACACTGCACAGCGTGTAGGTTCCAGGTACGTTTCGGCCACTAGGTATGTAGTAGGTATTTCCCACACAGCTAAGATGAAACACACGTATGAATAACAGTTAGAAAACATGTGTATAGTAATTTCGAGTCTAACTCAGCGGAGTTACCATGTGCAATTTCATTGGTTGTTTGCTTGACATAAACTCCGCCTACTTTGATATCGCGTGCTTTTTTGGCAAACAATACAAAGATAGTATGTATATTATATACACAAGCCTGGATTTGAGACTAACTGATATGCGATGTATATGTACAGTAGAGGGATGTTGTTTGGGGTTTTACAAAGGGACACTTTAGTGTGTAATTCACCCGTCCAGCCGTAGCTAAGTACCAACCTCAGCCTCAAGGGACCAACAGAAGTGATATAAGTAACGTTACATATGTACGTTTTACCGATGTGTACGTACAGGTGTATGTGGCATTTAATTCCGGCCCACTTTATAATGACTATTTATACAGCGCAGGTTATAACATACAGTTAAATACTTTGTCAACTTTCTTCATATTTAAATAATAAAGTACGTATTTATTATCATCTTCTCAACCACTTTTAACAAAGAAAAACCCCGAAAAATCCACACTTGAGATTCTGAGTTTGGTATAATAATTTGGCTCAAATTAGATTATATTTGGAATTTGTAAGACAAATTGTTGCGCATTTTTTCTCGGGAAGTAACTGTGATATGTTTTGCAAAAATGGCACCCAGAATGAATGTAAATGGTTCCGTCTGAATGGGCCGTTCCTGTAAATGAAATATGTTAATACGCCAGGCGCCCAACTAAAACATCCCGAATATTAAGAGAGCATGACCCATAAGTGTAGAATTCCCTTTCATTATCACACAACCTCCAAAGATTCGGGGACATTCTACCAATATCAACATTGAAAGGACATCAGAAATTAATGTGAAGCAGACATTTTAATTCCCATATCCATAAAAAGTAAGTTTATATATAAAATAGAGGAATCTTTTCTAAAACATATCTTTAAAAAATCAGCCTGAAATTATTTTCTAACTGATGGATGAAAATGTACTTTTCATGCAGTCTCAAATCAATTGCAATCCTGCAACGCATTCTATTTGTTGTTATTTTCTCTTTATATGTACAGTAAATAACATGACCGTTAACAAAGTATAAATCTATAACTTTATTACGCATGTCATTTGTATTACATCAACATATACACGTGTTTAACTTGTATAATATAGGTGAATTCAAAGCAGATTTTCATTTCATATTCACCGTCGCTGTATGTACTTTAAAATGTAATAAATAGAAAGTTAAACGGGTTTTCTGTAGAAGATTATATATATTTGACTCCTACGGCAGAATATACGTGGTATTTTCACGTATGTCTTGCACTTAGCAAAAAAAAATAGATATATAAATAAAATGTGTTATTGAAAATTTATTCTTTTGTCAATAACATTATTTTACATGATATACTTGCATTTTGGCAATTTTAGCGTTTAAATCTTGCATTATTTTTCATAAATTAATGAATATATCACATAACTACCGTAAAACCCAGTGAAAACATACATATTTTATTTGTATATTTACAAGCTCATTTGTATCACCTATTGCGACTTTATAAAATCATAATAAGATCACGTCACATGCTTCCAAATTATATATCTTAATGTATCCTTGAATATTTCTAGAAATATTGACTACTTCATATACACGTGACCAGTTCTCATTATCTCAGAGAAACCGTCTTTTCTGTGAGGACGTATTCGCCCTTTCTGGGAGAATCCTCTACACCTCTCGTGGGAAATACAGCTTTTGGGAAATGCTCCACACCTCTTCATTGTTGAAGCATATGATAAAAAAATGGACTTATTCACTAAATCTTTCTAAAAAAACTTATGTAAGATCCTATATATCTTGACTTGACCTAGTTAATACGACTTCACAATGTCATATACATAAATATAACTAAGGTACACGTGTTTGCCTTATCCAGCCACTAGTCACAATCTTAAGGTATTCATAAAACAGATTATTATGTAGAATTTGCCAAAATAGGTCAATTTTAACCCCTGTGGTATAACTATGTGACATATAAATATTTGCGCCCATTTTAATGTTTCCATTTGAAATTAATTTCACGAAAAAAAATCAGACTTGGTTCTATAAACCCAGCGGTGTTCTTCCGTCTCAACGACACAGACTATCGGGGACACAAAGGCACATGTATATAGTATATTATAGTTTGTGTGATCATTGACACCCAGCCCCCTATTAGGACCTAATGTTTGTGTTACATTACTGGGTCCGTACTGGGACATTGTTGGGTGTGGAGGGAGTCGGTTTGTCCGGGCGGCAGTTTGTGGTACCCCCTGGACCTACAACAAAACACGTCCTCATTCTAATGGTCGAGCTTGGCCGTCTAATGGACTGTGAACATTCACGCTAACGCCGAGTCAATAAGCACTCGCAACAGGCCTCTATCTCTAGAAATATGCAATGCTTATGTCTGTTTCGTGTGTATGTCAACATGTTGGTACCTACTAGGACCTCGCGTCCAGAACTAGTTTTCTGGGCGGATATACACAGGTAATATTGTTGTAATTGTTAATCAACACCAGCATCTAAGAAAAACAGTCAGTTAACAAATTTAGAATTCGCGAAATAACCAGTTTGGAATTGGAAACTTCTCTGACAATGTTAAAGGTTTATTATGAGGATACTTTTGTCGATGTAATACAGCACATGTATAATAATGTTATAGATTTTTTTAATCTGTCGATGTAATAAATTACAAAACATTATCCATTTTTCTGTGGGACATGGTTTTGGTACTAATTGTTCTCCGGCATCACTGTATCAAATTTCCGGACACAATCTACGATTTTTACAACTCATCTTGATATACATAAAACGCTTTGCCTGATTTTGGACGGAGGAAACAATTAAGTAGCTATACACCTGTCATCGGCATATATAGAATAGCATGGAAAACTAGCAGTGGCGACATATTTGACCTGTACACATTGATGCGTTGACAAGCGCCTTGTTACCTGATCGTGCGCGATACATTCATATGCAAATGCATTTCAATGTTCAAAATTGGGATATTGGAAGTATAGATTTTTTTTACTTATATTTCGATATTCAACTTTATCAGGTGTAAGTTGTAAGCTGTAAGTAAACAACCATCATGACGGAATTTCCGTTTAATACAAACTGCAATACATGAACAAATCGAGTGCGGAATATTTTTTTCCACACGCTACAACTATTTTTTAAATGCCTCCGATTGATGGATACCATGGACAGTTGATGGATACCATGGACAGTTGATGGATACCATGGACAGTTGATGGATACCATGGAGAGTTGATGGATACCATGGACAGAAGATATATACCATGGACAGTTGATATATACCGTGGGCAGTTAATGGATACCATGGACAGTTGATGGATACCATGGACAGTTGATGGATACCATGGAGAGTTGATGGATACCATGGACAGAAGATATATACCATGGACAGTTGATATATACCATGGACAGTTGATAGATACCATGGAGAGTTGATGGATACTATGGAGAGTTGATGGATACCAAGGACAGTTGATAGATACCATGGACAGTTGATATATACCATGGACAGTTGATAGATACCATGGACAGATGATATATACCATGGACAGTTGATGGATACCATGGACAGTTGATGGATACCTTGGACAGTTGATGGATACCATGGACAGTTGATGGATACCTTGGACAGTTGATGGATACCATGGACAGTTGATGGATACCATTGACAATTGATGGATACCATGACAAGTTGATGGATACCATTGACAATTGATTTATATCATGGACAGTTGATGGATACCATGGACAGTTGATAGATACCATGGACAGATGATGGATACCTCGGACAGTTGATAGATACCATGGACAGTTGATGGATACCACGGAGAGTTGATGGATACCAAGGACAGTTGATGGATACCATTGACCGTTGATGGATACCATGGACAGTTGATAGATACCATGGAGAGTTGATGGATACCAAGGACAATTGATGGAAACCATGGACATTTGATGGATACCATGGACAGTTGATGGATACCATGGACAGTTGATGGATACCAAGGACAGTTGATGGATACCATTGACAATTGATATATACCATGACAGGTTAATGGATACCATTGACAATTTATTTATACCATGGACAGTTGATGGATACAATTGACAATTGATTTATACCATGGACAGTTGATAGATACCATAGACAGTTAACAGATACCATAGACAGTTAATAGATACCATGGACAGTTGATCGATACTATGGACAGTTGGTATAAACCATGGACAGTTGATGGATACCATTGACCGTTGATGGATACCAAGGACAGTTGATGGATACCATTGACAATTGATATATACCATGACAGGTTAATGGATACCATTGACAATTGATTTATACCATGGACAGTTGATAGATACCATGCACAGTTGATTGATACCATGGACAGTTGATGGATACCATGGAAAGTTGATGGATACCATGGACAGTGGATGGATACCATGGACAGTTGATGGTTACCATTGACAGTTGATGGATACAATGGACAGTTGATGGATACCATGTACAGTTGATAGATACCATGGACAGATGATATATACCATGGACAGTTGATGGATATATACCATGGACAGTTGATGGATACAATTGACAATTGATTTATACCATGGACAGTTGATGGATATCATGGACAGTTAATGGATACCATGGACAGTTGATAAATACCATGGACAGTTGATAGATATCATGGACAGTTGATGGATACCATTGACAATTGATATATACCATGACAGGTTAATGGATACCATGGACAGTTGATGGTTACCATTGACAGTTGATGGATACCATGGACAATTGATGGATATCATGGACAGTTGATGGATTCCATTGACAGTTGACGGATACCATGGACAGTTGATATATATCATGGACAGTTGACGGATACCATGGGCAGTTGATGGATAGATAGATACCATGAACAGTTGATGGATACAATGGACAGTTGATAGATACCATTGACAATT